CGCAATTAAAAATACAAATGTATGTTTTATTCGGATAATTAAAGATGAAAGTTTAATTTATAATTCCAGAAATTACAGTAGTTTTCAAATTAATGTATACCCCCTAAACTGTAACAAAAAGCAAATTCAGCAAGATAAGCCAGGTGTACAGTATGTTCTGATAGAAACAAATCCAAAATAAAAGACTTGTGTGATTTTCAAAATTGTATGGAGACATACATGTTCAAATGTATGCATACCACAGAATCAGTGTTTTGTGAACTTAAGGCTTTAAGAACCTCATGGAGGCACTTCCCATATTATTTTAATGCCTCTTCCTTCTTCTCATTAGGGGCATTCAACCATGCCTCTCCTGATGTGAAGGCTATGCAACTTGTGCTTGCGATCTGCCTTATCACCAATCAGAAATGCTGTGTTCTATGCCCCTTTAACCTTTTGGTCCTTGCATGTGATGCAGGCTTTGTATTGTTATCCTATCGTGATCCATTTGTGTCAAAATGTGTTGGTAAACATTGTAACTGGGATACTAGTATCACAGGACGCAACCGACCATAAAGCAAGGTAGATTCATCTATTTTTGATGAAAGGGATAATGTTCTATTTTCAACATGAGCATCAGTTTTTTGCCAGTCATACTCCTGATGAGACTGTGTTCCAATTTGACTTGGAAGCCAATTAGTTGCTGTTTGGCAAACTCATATCTTTTATATCTTTTATTTTATTTTTGCAGTAGAATTCAACCAGAGACTTTTTATGAGGTTAGTTTCGAATGATAGTCTTGGAACCTTCTTATCTTGATCACAGAAATATATTTGCTTTGGTACAGTTAAAGTATTTGTTTCTCCATTCTGACCACTTTATACCACATTTTAATTACACCTGTATTTTCTTTGCTAAATCAACTTTAGGCTCTTCGATTTCAATTTATTTATTTAGCGCCTTTCATAACAATGTTGCCCCAAGGCACTTAACAATGCAATGATCAATACAGAACAGAAAAGACCAGAGGACAACGTAGGAGCGGAACCACAAACGCCTTAGAACAAAAAACCTCTAGGGTCATCTGGTTGCCCAACCCCTTTGGGCATGCTAACATTATATAATTAAATATATATATATATTTAAAAGTTACTAAGTATAAGTGAGAAAATAAGGAATTCATTGAGGTTCATTTAATCAGTGTAATTTCTAAGTGCTACAGCACCCCTGGTGGACACAAGCATAAATTGCAACAAATCCAAAGTAAAAAAATGGCCAGAGCATTCATCATCTGGAATTTATAGCCTTTAATAAAGCACCAGTGTTATCAATTTTAAGCCAGCCTTTTGGCACATTGTATATTTTGTTATTATATTTTGTTTGTCTTATAGGCATTACATCCCAAAATTATTTCTCTGCTTGCAACACAGGACATAAAAAATGTAGATTTTTCTTATTCTTACTTCAGTTTGTTGACTAGCACTCCCTCAGTAATTTGGTTCTCTAATAAAAAAACTAGAATAATGATAAGCAGTACTAATATGTTGTATTTTCACTAGCAAAATAGTTTTTAATGTACTGTATATGAATGATGAAAACAGTAATTCAATGGTTTCACCATGAGTTAATGCTGATTGTTCGTGCTGTATGTATGCTGCACGTGCGTAGAAATGCTTTTCGATGATTTAAGAGTAACCTAGAAGCACCAGTCCTGATTTGGTTGCAGGTTTTTGCTTTGGTCTTGAGCCAGAACTGAAATGGTCAGGCTGGGAGCAGCTGCCGGTAAAGCACAAACACCTGTGTTCTGGGTCACCAAGGGATCAGGACAGAAACACAAACAACACAGAGGCAATGGTGTACAGAAAATAGACATTTAGACCTTATCTATTTCAGTGCAACTAACTTTAACCTGACAGCCGCAGTCTGTATCTCTAATGTCAGCCTAGGTCAGTACAACTGCCAAATGTAATAGGGTCTTTCAAGGGAGCATTGAAGGTGAGCTGATTCTCAGCATAATCTAGGAATGTTATGGTGTTCAAGGGGAGCTTTCAGTTGACTCTGCAAGTTTGGTTTTGAATTTAAGTTTATAATAATACAATTAATCTTCTGAGCATCTGTAGAAACTTATCATTCATTCATAGCTGCAACTGATTCACAACTTTTCCAGGGAAATGAAAATAAATTGTAGTGGGTGTTTTGACCTTTTATTGAACAGACATGACATTAATTAATTCTGCTGATTAACATTTGACATCAAGAGGTTCATCAACACGGGGTCTACTGTGAAAGACACAAGCCAGTAGCATTGTGTCTTTGAAAGGCCAACATCAATCTTTGCAAGGTTTTGTGATTTGTGGTCTTCCAGATTGTCTCTTGCCTGTGTCATGCTCAGTCATGTATATATATACAGTACTTCATTTTCTTAAAACATAGATTCATACATTTCTTTGATGCTTAGTATATGGTAATTACCAAAACAAAAGGGAGGAATAGAAGGTGCAATCTGGTTGTACAGATTGCAATCAGTGTTCTGTGAGTGCCTTCCCCTTGATTCATTGAAGAATGGAGAAATAAGGCAGTAGACAAGCAATATCCTGTTTCAAGCAATACTGTATCTCCAGCAAAATATTTCTACAACCTGAAATTTCAGGTTTATATTGGTAATAAATAAAAGGATCAAGACGGGCTTCTTTTAGATGAGACAGGGATATAGTACAGATGACAAACTTAAAACTTGTTATGAGCTCTGCTGGAAGTTGATATTGTCATAATGAATCTCTGGCATCAATTCTTATCAAGTCTTATCTTGAACCTTTGCAAGGAGTGAATTGAATGGCTTTGAACATTCCAGGTTCATCTAATGGAGTTTAGCTAATTTGGCATCAAAACAAATACTGTAGACTACTCACAAACAATGACAAAAAACATAATTGGTTGTGCACCAATCAGCACGTAA